GTCTCCGTCGCGCAGACAGCGGTGCATGATGGCCGTCAGGGTGTTGAGGTGGCGGATGCGCGCCGCCGAACTGCTGACTGCAACACCGCCATAACTACTAGCGCCCGCATCTCCTCCTATTCCCCTGCCATGGCCATCTTGGTCATGGGACGGCGATCGTGCCTGAGAGATGTGTCGCTTTCGCGAACCGTGCCTCTTCTTGGTAGCTGACGGCAGAGGTCTGTGAGGAAACCCCGGGTGGTGAACAGAAGGCAGCTCGTCCTCTGGCGCGAGGCCGGCCAAGGCGAGCTGGCGGAGGGTGTCTGGACTGTGGCTCAGCGGGTTTATGATGTGTGACTGTGATCGCGACTGTGATCCTGGCCGTGAGGAGGAGCGCTGTGAGAAGTCAGGAGTGGGAGAGCGCGATTCTCCTGTATCTGCTAGATGTGTAGTATTTCCATATTCGTCATATCGTTGTTGGTGTTGTTGTTGCTGTTTGGTCTTGTTCGGGTGTATGCCAAGACGATAGCCTGGGATGGAGAGAGCGAATGGGTCCATGGTGATACTGATGATACTGATGATAATGATGAAGATGATGAAGATGATGAAGATGATGAAGATGATGAAGATGATGAAGATGATGAAGATGATGAAGATGATGAAGATGATGAAGATGATGATGAGTCCGAAGTGCTTTCAAACCGAACTGGTGTGCTTTCCGTGTGATAGAACACGTCATAACGCGATTGCCTATTATCTATAACCTTGCTTGTTTACACGAGTCTAAACATAATTGAGGCTGCAAAGGTGTCGTCGAGAAGAACTTGATAAAATAAGTTGTCTTCAAATCATTTCTTGTGTAAGTCGATGATTGAAAAATTGTGGACAGTGCTGGCTTGGAGTTGCGCATACAGTGCAGCATGAAGAGCTTTCCCCAGGAGGCGATGCCACTCAACCACTTCATGGAAAGGCACCTACCTCATGATGAGCACACCCCTACAGGCTACACGTGAACGCTTTTCAAGGGATAGACATGTTCGGAGAGACAGGGTAAATTCTGTTGCTGCCGAGAAAAGTTGGACTGATAAGGGCATATGATGTATTGTTAACTTTCAGGATATTCAGCGCTTGCTAGAACCATAATTAGCAAACGTAACATACTTCCACAGTTTCAGGATTAACCATGCCATGAAAAGGCATCTGTTGCGCGTATGTACAAGGTTCTGATGCATCCATCCTGCTGGCCTCTACTGATACAACCGGTTCATGTTTCGGGGTTCTCGCTTCTGTGTCTGCCCAAATTTCGCTCCTTAAGATGCCTTGCGCTCAAAGTAATCCCACTGTCCCGCTGGTGGCTGCTCCTCTAAGCTCTCCCATCTAGTTGCGTGTTGTTAGCCTCGAGAGCCTATGCAGGAGCGAGGTGGCGTCACTTACACTTTCGACTGGTACATGATGTCAACAAGAGTGAGCTCGCTCTCGGCCATCTGGACCACTTCCTCGATCAAGCCGGCACCAATCTTGTTCTCGACTTCCTCGACCCTGAGCGATGCGTCACATTAGTAGACCGTTCGCACCGACGCGTGCCAGCAGCAGCAGGAAAATAGCTCACTGATCAGCCGTCATTTGAGGCTCAGGCTCCCACGTGATCTTGTCCGGGATTTCGAGCGACCTCTTGCTGTATATCATCTCGGCGTGGGGGGTCTCGCGCTCCTCCGGGCCTCGTAGACCCTCGATGGACTCGCTCTCGGGCTCCCCATCCCATTCATTATGCCGGACGTCCTTCGCCTTGGGGTCTGTGCGATGTATGAAGAGTTGACCGCCGGTCTGGACTGTGATCACCTTGGCGCCCTCGAGTTTGTCACCGCCCGAAATGTGAAACTCGTCAGGATTCTGCTCGAGGATCTTGCGCGCGCGCTCAACCCACTCCTTGTATCCGGGCGGTTCGGCGGCCTCGACGATGGACATGCGGTGTTTCGTCACGGCCTCGACGGATTGCCGGTACAATGAGGACTCGGGGAACTTCTGGAGCTTCTCGAGCGTGCTGGAGTATAGGTAGAGCAGGGACGACCGTGGAGAGCTGTGGGTGTACAGGCCGGTCAGGCCGGTCGGGTTGCCCGCCTCCAGATAGCGGGCGGGCTTGACATTGGCGAAAAGTCGAAGTGTCCGCCTCATGCTGGGTGGCTTGTGTGGGTGTGTGGTTGAATTGCGCCGACTGAGCAATTACAGGAATATGTTGAGGTGAGAGCTGCCTGTATCACAATTGGACGCCCTTACAACCGGCCGGCCAAGGGAGCTTCGGGGAACGTCAGAGCTTGGATCACGTGAGTGAGTCTCTATCAACGAATTGACCAATCAATGACCTGGCTTTCTACAACTTGCCCCCAGATACATACATCCTCTACGGTAGATACGTCTCCCCTTCTGGTGCAAGTTTCTCATTCTCTATACAGCATTCCACTACGGTTGGTATTTAACCCATCTTTACTTATATATCTAAGTATTCTCCTAAGGCAAGAGGAATTGGGCAATCATTGTTGAGGATGGATCACTGAAATGCTACAGCAGTACCTGGTTAAAAAGAAACAAACCCTGCATATCTCTGACATGTGCAATACGCTACGTAATTATCTTATACTGGCACTCTTAACAATCTTGGGATTGCAATTTGGTGCACTGTGAAGCAATGTCGTTGTCGCTACCTACTTGTACATGTAGCTGCTGAAACTGGCCTTCTAGGTTAGGCGGTTCAGCACTAAAGCGGCTCGTACTGTGGGTAATTGCGTAACGAAGGTAGGTGAGTTGGAGGCGCCATTTGGACCTACCTGCAGTAGATCTTCCTCCCTGAACCACCTATTCCTAGTTCCCAAAGTAAGCTCACGACTATCCGTATCTTGGGTTCTTTTCCTCCATCCTACCCCTACATCTCTCCTGCCATCTTCTGAGACACTGTTCAGATCTTCTGCAGCACCATCAAAACCCTCCCAATATGGACAACTTCAAGGCGTTCGGTAATAGCTTCGGCCACAGTCTGAGGTACGTTCTTTGGAAAGCTGGAGTGGCAGAGGTAGCAAACAGCGTACTTAGGCGCAATCACTTGGAAGCCTGTTGCTAACCCGCAGCCTCTTCATACAGCAATCTCGGGTCTTCGCTTACCCCTTCTTTGACGCGCACCTTTCAGTATACCAAAGAGCAGCTGGGTCAGGCCGAAGACAAGGTCAGCAGTTTGGGTTGCGCAGTATGAACATCCCCACTAACAAGGACAATTGTAGACCCAACTACCTCCTGATTATATCGATCTGGAGAAGCGTGTAGATGCCCTGAAACAGGTCCACCAAAAGCTTTATGCTGTGACGTGAGTGTCAACATCGGCTATCTTCTTGCTTGCGACTGACAGATGGCTGCCTACGGTTAGTTCTCAATACACCAACGAAGCTTACGACTACCCACCGAACATCAAGGAGACCTTCCAAGATCTTGGCCGCACCGTGAGCGAGAAGGTCCATCTTCTCTCGTCTGCCTCTACCCCCGCCGAAGCACAGGCTGCCCTGACTGCGCCCCCGTCTGCGAAGCCCCAGCCCAAGACGTTCAACCATGCTATTGCCCGTGCTAGCTTGGCCAGCTCCCAGCTGCTCCATCAGCAGCATGCTGGACCGGGTGAGGATCCCCTAGCCACCGCACTTGAGAAGTATGCGCTAGCGCAGGAACGCGTCGGTGAAGCTCGCCTCGCGCAGGACGCCCAGATACAGAGCAGATTCTTAGCTGGCTGGAACACCACTCTTAACACGAACCTGATGTTCGCCACCCGCGCGCGCCGGAATGTTGAGAAGGCCCGGTTGACTTTGGACTCTGTGAAGTCCCGTGTCAAGGGAACGGTTTGGAAGATTGGCGGCATTTCGCCTCGTGAGGAGCACCCCAACTCGGAGGAGCTCAGCCCTGAAGCGCAAGAGGAGATTGAGAAGGCCGAGGACGAATTCGTTACACAAACCGAGGAAGCTGTGGGCGTCATGAAGAACGTACGTCACTATACGACGAAGTTGTCTCGTGTGCATTGAGGCGCGTTTTTTGGCTAACGGTGTATGTCACAGGTTTTGGACACTCCTGAGCCTCTCCGCAACTTGGCAGAGCTTATTGCCGCCCAAGTTGAATATCACAAAAAGGCCTACGAGATTCTTAGCGAGCTAGCCCCTGCTGTCGAGGCCCTCCAGGTTCAGCAAGAGGTTCGTGATAAATGAGCACGTTCATTCCCATAGACTTTGGTTGCTAACATTCACATCGCTACCAGGCAAACTACCGCCAGAGCCGCGAGAATGCATCCTAAATCATTGATACCCGAAAATAGTATGTCGCCATGGCATGATATAGTATATTTTTCTCACTGTCTCCAGTTTGGTAATTGTGAGGGGATTTTCCGTTGAGACGTTCTTTAGTATTGATTGGTATGGCGAAGACATTGGCCTATTCAAGGGTCGTGTTTGTGCACCTGTTCGCAGAGTAGGATTTCAGTAAGACCAATGAGTTGATTCCTCAACATGCTGCTGTTGCGTTTACTATCCTTTTTGAAGATGCCGTGGCAAATCCTATTGGGGTTTCTAGCTGAACATCAACCGAACGGCATTCCATCTCAACTCATAATGCTAGATGTAGACATATGTTATATTCTCGTCCCAAGATATTAATAACATCATCGTTGTGACTGTAATCACTTGGAATTCAGGAGCTCTGGAAATGGCCAGCGAGAAAATTTGATGTTAAGGCCAGAAGGATGATTGGCAGTTGACAAGAGCAATATCATGAATGGAAGTGAAAGGGAGAAATTTGAACTCCGTTACCTGCTCAAAACTCGTTTGGCTTTAGTAACTCGGGAGCTAATAAAAGAAGAGACCGAAAAGCAATAAGGGAGACAGACGAAAGTTAAGAAAGAGTAGACAAAAAAAGGAGAGGAGACCAAAAAAGAAAGAACAGAAGAAATAATCCAACAGTATCTAAGAGTTGTTTGTACTTCGTAATGATGTACTTCGTAATGACCTCGCTGGGGGTCGAACCCAGAATCTCCTGATTACAGTCGGTGTGAATACCTAAGTTGGTATCGCATCGTAGTCAGACGCCTTGCCATTGGGCCACGAGGCCGGTCCACGTTTTGTTCGTTGGGTCTGCCACAACCTATTAACGTCTATATCGACTGTGTGTGGTGGGGTGGGTGACTCGGTGGATAAGCTCACACCAAGTCTAGACTAATAAAGCCCAAGCCAGGGTAGGTACTGGGTTTTCTAACCTTTTTTGCGTCTACATGTTATTGCTATTGCGTTCGTGTGGTGAAGTTCCTTGGTAAGAAGGTTACAGCTACCTGACATCTGCTGTTTAAGTAGATAGATAGTAAGTTGGTATCTGATTCTCTACAGGTTATTAATAGGTTTCGTCCTTACTGCCGAAATATCACCCCGAGTCTCCTGTGCTCTAATTGGGCAGCTCTAACCTGGCACAAATCTACAACAATTAGTCGCAGGAAGAAGGTGAGCCATCGGTATAGGTCTGCCTATTTTGCGGCACCTCATATGAGAACGTGTGAACAATGCAGGGCGCTGCGTAATGTATGATGCATGACCATTTGACGCCTGAACCTGAAGCATGACGCCCGCCTGAAGCTAGACCTCGGAAGCATCTGATTGGAACTTAAAATGCTGTGCTGTAGTTATCCTGCTATGCTGCTCGGACTGGAAAAGCGACAGGAGCGTATATACTCGGGGCTACGGTCTTATGTACTGGAGTCCGAGGCCTGGAGTCCCGAGGCAGCCACTCAACAGCGGAAGTACCTGTTCTCCACCCATCTGGCCTCGAAGTCAGGCACCATGGTCCCGACAACCACCGAAACTTCGGGGAAGACTTTGGTGAGACGGTGTATTGCGACGCGTCCAGCCGAATAAGTGGCGAAGACGATGCGATCAGGCCGCACGCCGTGGTCCACCAGCACCTGAACCGCCATGAGGCCGGATCCACCGCTTGACATCTGCGAGTCCAGGAGTAGCACGCTTTCGTGTTCGCTGATGTCCTTGGGGAGCTTGAGGTAGTGTAGCTCCGGTTCTCCTGTCCTGACGTTGGATTGAATCAGGAGTCGCCCCGTTCGACAGTCTGGAATCACTCTTCTCAAACCCGTTTCTAGGGTGGCGCCGCCCCTCAAGACCACCACCGCGCTCACCTCGCCCTTGGGGGCCAGTCCACAGTAAGAGATGCCAGCAGCCGTCTCGACAGTCTTCTCCTTGAAATGTACATTGTTCAGCGCCCTAGATCCAGATGTTGATTTAGCCAAGCCCTGTGAGACGGGTATCACGACTTCGTTGCTGCTTACTGCTCAATCAACAGTGCGGAGAACCTGTCAAAGTAGAAGATAAAGTCTTCACTCGAGGTATCGATATCCTGGATCAGGGTGTTCATGCCCTTGAGCTGCCGGGTTTCTTTCAGTACTACCACTCGTTTCGAAAGAGGTGCGCTTTCGGAGCCGGCTTCTAAGCTCTTCAAGGCCGCTCGATGGTGCGTGGACTTCTCTACCAGCTTCCTCTCGATATACTGGATCACCATGGCTTCTCTGTGTGAGTGGCTTTTTTTCACTTTTGGACCATTGCGAACTTACTCATGGCGACACGGTTCTCGATGCCCCTGGGTACGATGATATCTGCCGAGGTGTGTTAAAGGGGGGAAATTCCCTAAGCTGAACACTGTGCAAGACCTACCTGCGTGATTTCTCTGAGGCACCACGTACTACAAGGTCTGACGATTAGCTGGGTTGCTGAGTAGTAGGGAGCGCACCATGGCCTGCCTTTTCGTAATTTGGCTTGACAAAGCCAAACCACTGCTTGATGCAGCCTTCCACGGTTCGACCACGATCCTTCACATCTCGCAAGACTAGAATCAACCGTATTAGCACCTCTGAAACTGACCATTGTATTGGCGACCTTCAAGGGGACGGACTTCTTCTGGATAGACATGTGTCGGCATCAGCTTCGCAGTAGATCTACTGCCATATTAGCACGACTGGCTGTACAGCATCGACGCCGCCAGTCTTACTCTCATATCCATGAGATCCATCACTCTGGGATCGTATAGCGCAAAGATGCCTTCTAATATGAGAACGTGGGGCGAGTAGATGGTTGTCGTCTCCTCTACCCGCTGGTGCTTCTCGAAAGAATACACTGGGACCTCAGCACGTTTGCTGTAGGTAATAGTATCAGTAAGAATCGGCCTTTTTGCTGGCTTGAAACGTTCGGCGCGGAGGGCACTTCTTCGTTGACATTAGAGGTCAACATACCCGGCCTTCAGGTCCTGCAGGGTTTGGAGCAGTGAATCAAAATCGATGGCCTGTTAAAGGGGTTACGTCAACACCTAGCAATACATTCAACGAGGAAGGATCGGTTTCTACCTCAGGCGAATCGAAGTCATACTCGTTCTGAAACGCCTTCCTTGATGACTCGGCATCCAGTGGCTTGTAATATGAGTCCTAACGTAGATGAGTACCACTATTCGGCAGTGCCAATCTGCGGAGGAGAGAGTGACCAACCATGGATAAGATTACCACCCATGGCAAGTTTAACTTCCTAACGATAGCATGGGACAGGGTTGACTTCCCAGAGCCAGAACTGCCAGCGATGCCGATAATACTGAGATCAGCCCAAGGAGGGCTGTAGATGGCACGTTTAGCCATCGTGGCGGCGCTCTTGTCAGCCACGAGGGCCGGTGAGCTGACTTCGGTGTCCATCGGTGCGGCTAGACTCCGGGTATATATATATATATTATATTCTAAAGGGAAATCTGGACGCCTACGCAGTCAGGCTTGGATCTGATAGCTGGCCGTCTCGTCTGGTCCGTGACAGTCATGCGATGCTGGGTCCTGACTGACAAGCAGATAGAGGCTCTCCTGCCCCAGAAACTAAAATGCCAATCAATCTAGTGGTTCGTTAGGTGGGGAGGCGCCTTTGGGTTCCATAAGGGTTTATCTCACAGGTAATCTGGAACCTGCCTACTTGGTATGTTCTGTCCAGCATGCCTACATGTACGTATCCGGGTGTGTTTGGCAACTGACTAAACCAAGGAAGTTTCTGAGCATTGAAGTAATGGAAGCCATGGCTCCATTTAATTGGTCCATGGGCTCACGAAAGTGCTAAGTTCTGGATGCACCGATCTTGAATTGTAAACATCTTAACCTTGCTACCTACCTAACCTGCAATATGTAGCTTATGCACTGTATCGTACCTCTCCCTAGGTAAGATAATGCAGTACAGCAGCACATGTATTTACAACAGCATGCATGTATGGGGCTGAGCCACATCGACAATCCGTGCAGATACCAGGTAGCCTGTAGCCTGAGGTACTGTGCACTGGAGACGCTAGTACAGGTTAGGACTAAGGCAGGGTGGTAAAAGCTTCCCACAAAATTCCACGAGTGGGAGAGCTTTGAGTCTGCCTTTTTCCTTTTCTGTATTCCTCACCACCTTCGAGAAAAGACGAGAGGACTCCGAAGCCAGAGATGTTGCGCCGCTGGGATTCACTTCCCGGTTGATTGATCAAACACTCTCTATTCCTTGCTTATACTTCTACCTTGTTTTCATTATTGGATGCCTACATCCGCGCGTCGCCTTGCGTCTTTGGCTGATATGATGGTATGCGAGCCGCGACAGCTATTCCGGCATGACTTGGCCCCAGCGAGACTGACGGCCACTCCAAACAGGCTTCGTCAACATCTACCCCGACTCCGATGAAGCATGCCTTTACCAGTCAGGCGGAAGAAGTCAGAACGCAGAAGAGGTAAGACGAAACCGCCATTTGTCACACCCCCAACCCCTCGCTCTCGATATGATGCAATAACAAAAATCAATGGGAATCTCTCTGAGCAAACCATGCGGAGATCGATTTTTTATCTTTATCTGATCACAACCCTACCGGCCTCGGTACACTTACTGCTCTCTTGCTTTACTTCGAAGGACATAGCTAACTGGGCCCATGACAAAGCGATATAAACGCGCTTATCCTCGATTATTTAACGGTTGCTGGTTATCCCAACGCCGCCGCCAAGTTCTCCTCTGAAGCTAATCTGCCGGCTCAACAACCGGCCTCATCCATTCACATAAGGCAAAGGATCCAAAGGCTCATACACAAGGGAGAAATTGAGGACGCCATACAAGTGCTCAATGCCGAATATCCATCTGTATGTCAATGTTTTTCCCTTCCCAGAAGTTGTACCCGGCTTCCCCTAGAATGATTAGAACACGAGTTTTACATGCACCACTCATATTGATCTTCGGATCGTTGATGAGAAACAACCACTTTTCTATGACTATCCTTTTGCCCCAATCATCTTACGTTTGTCTACCGTACTTCTGCTCGTTATGCTGATCGAAACAAAGATATTAGATGAGGACGACGCACTTCTATTTGCGCTGCTACGGTTACAACTTGTAGAGTTAATTCGAGAATGCAATAGCAGCCCAAATCGTGATGTCAGAGCGGCGTTGAAATTTGCGCAAACCAAGCTAGGCCCGAAAGCCGCAGCTAATCAAGAATTCCTGGACGATCTCGAGAAGACGATGTCTCTTCTGGTCTTTCCCCAGGACTCTCTGGACCCATCCTTGGCATCTCTTTTCCAGCCGGGCCTTCGGAGAGAAGTGGCTGAGCAGGTAAACCAAGCGATCCTTGCGTTACAACTGCAACGCAAAGAGGCTGCCATTCGCCGGCTGGTACAAATGAGGGCTTGGAGTGAAGAGGTCGCCCGTAAAGATACAAACAAAAGCCTGCCCCCCACGATTGAGCTGGGCCTCGACCGTGATAGCAATGCACACGACGATGACATACAAAACGGCCATGAGCCGATGATTACCACCTGAGAGGATTCGCCGCGTGTAGAGAGCGGTCAGCATACTCTATTTTGGGACGGGGGACCAAGACCAGACATCCCTCACGCTTCTAACAGAGCTCCTCATGACGTAAGGAACCGGCTGGGGAGTATTGGGGATGCAAATGGGCTTCGGTCCCTCTGACCTGTTGCTCACAGGCAGCTGTATTGCTGGTCTTTTGTAACGATGTTATGAATATGGCGTCATGGGGATATCTGCAAGGCTAGGGAATAATGGGCGGAGATGTCC